GCAAGGAATGCTGCAGACAGACTTAAGCAGAAAGCTGCTACTGGCTTTGAACTTGCATCTACCTACTATTTTGTATGCGACTATGAAGTTAATAGGCATCTTAGGCCCCTAGCACATGTTCATTTAAAAAGGTACCAAGTGATTTGATCTTAACACTTGCACCTCCTACGATGCCACAAGTGTGTGACAGAAGGAGCAACTTTGGAATCAGGGATCAGATTCCAATCCCACCTTTTCTATTTGCCAGGGCAGGATCCTAGGCTCCCACTGCACCAGCAAGTTGAAAACTAGGTGCCTGCTGGTCCAGGGCTAGGGTAGACAAATCAGATGACTGATAGTCCTGCCCCCCAAACCTACCACATGTTCAATTTAAGGGGCCAGACAAACCATCCATTAAAAGACGTTCAACATTATTATACACCGAACAATTTTAAGGCTAGGTCACCATTTTACAGCACCTTAAATTGGGTTAATCACAGTATAAATGTAATGTGTGGAGGGGGATCTTATAAACAGCATCAGGACAATTAGGCTGTGTCCACACAAGCAGAGGTGTGTATCTGCAGTGGCACAATTAGTAGCAGCACAAATTGGTGTCACTACTTTGTGCTGCAACGCACACCCCTGCCTGTCTATTTTGCAGCGGGACACAGTGTCCAGCCACTCCATGTGCGGCAAGGGGGACTGGCTAGGGCACAGGGGCCTCACTGCAGGGCTAACTGGCAGGCAGCCCATGCTGAGGCACCATGTGCCCCAGCCAGGTGGGGAGTGGCACGTGGAGATGGGGGAGCAGGCAGCCCTCCACGCACTGCAGAGCCCCTGTGCTGGGGTGCAGCGTACCTCAAGAAGGGGGAGCAGGCAGCCCTGAGCTAGCCAATTCCCTGTCTTGAGGCACACTGCACGGGAGCTCCACTTGGCTCGGCATGGAGGCTCTGCGGAGCAGCCCCCAGCATGAGGCATACGGAGACAGAGGAGCAGCCAACCTAAGGCTGCCTGCTTCCCCACTGAGACACACTGCAACCCAGCCAGCCAGGGACTGGCTGGCCAGGGTGCACAGTGCCTTAGTGTAGAGGCTCCGCAGTGCACAGAGATGGGGGAGCAGGCAGCCCTGGACTGCCTGTTCCCCTGTCTCTGCATGTCTTGGCACACAGCACTTTGGCATGCTTTCACCACTTATTTCTTCAGGTTGTTTTGCTACCGGGAAATCCCAGTAGCAAGTTTTGCCCTGGCACCGCAAGTTATCAGCACTGCACACATTTTAACGTGCAACGCATGCAGTTTGTGGTGCTGCAGGTTTGCAGCACCCCAAGCTGCATGTCTGGATCTGGCCCTAGTGTCCAAGTACTGAAAATAAGATTCGTCTTCTCCTTGTTCTCAATACCAGCGTCTCCCTCCAAAATATTGCTGCAGCATATAAAGACCCTGATGCTTTATTGCAGAGACAATAAAAATACTTATAGACTTAGAGAAGTTTCTCTGCATCCTTCTTCTAAAAGCCAACCAAATCAGCATTTTATATGTACGTAACAAGCTAAGAAGCCTTCTTCATTTAATGTCAGGATCACTTACGCGGAATTAAAAAGCTTGTCCCTGCAAGCTGGTGGGCACCATAACCCTTATCTAACAAAGCATTTAAAAATGTGAAGCACAAATATTCTCACTGAACACACCAAAGCAACCTTAACAGGCTATGCCAGCCTTCTTCACTGTAACTGGGCCTACTTATATGCTTAGTTAAGGATATATTTTCATGCAGGCCAGAGCATTCAACATCTCGCAGGACCATGCTTCACATCAATTAGACAGCTATTTCTACCTTACACTTCCAGCATGTACAAGAAAAACTTGCTTACCTGGTCATCATCATAGTTGGGATCTTTAACATCCACTTCCTCCACATCATACACTTGCCCAGGTGTTCCCCAAACACCTTTACCACCTGCACCACCTGGCAAAATGGGAAGCGATGGAGGGGGAGGAGGAAGAGGGACACTGTTAGTTTCAAGCTCCACTCAGTATTTCCACACTAGAATACCTTTGGACCCCAAATACAATTTAAGTCTTTCAACATGTGTGAAAGGCAACTGAAGGGTTTGCATAACATGATTTTCCCACCACTAGCCATTGAGGTTTGCACTACTTTGATGAGAATGCTACAACCCAAGACAATGCGAGAAGCACTGAAATACCTGTTAAGTTTGGAACAGTAATGTTAAAGTTACTGCATCTTTATGATGGAGTATCTCTCTGAACATTATAATCTACTAAGCGTCTACTATCTTAAAGAAATAGTTGATAATGCTTGGTATAATGAACGGCATACACACTAGATTCCCCTATTATCACTACCTGCAGTTCTTATCCCAGTACTACTATTATACAGGGGAGAACAGAAGGAAAGAATGGACAGTTTTAAGGGAAAATAAATTTCAGTAGAAACAAAAAACAACTTACACTACGGGTAGCCTCCTTACCAGGTTACACTAACCTTTTTTTGGTAGTCCCCTTCCCTTCCCAGATCGGGATCGTCTGTCCAGAAATTTTCCTTTTGGACTAGTTGGTACAGTGACTCCACTTTTCACTGCCTCCCCATTATCGCTAACGGAGTCTCCTCTCCCAGAATCTCGAGAAGAATTTTTTCTCAAGCGTCTCTTTGCTTTAGCATTAATTTTAGCTTCATTGATGGATGATGTAGGTATCCAATTTCCATTGATTTCAGGCTTTATTTCCTGAGTGCCACTATTTTCTTCATCACCAGAAAATGGAGTGTCACTTAAATTATCCAGTTCTCAAGAGAGAAGAGACACAGAAATACAGTTACTATTTTAAAGTTATCTTAAGTCAGGAAAAATGTTCATCTTGCTTAAGTGCTTCTGTTTAAAATGGAAAGCCTGAACTATAAAAGTTTAGAGTTAATGGAGAGCACCTGACCGAAGAGAAACCAATCAATTTCCCTACATGTCCAAGTAGGGGAGTAAAGCTTCCCTTTTTCTTCCCTCCTTGAACTACCCAAGTTCTTTGACAGAGAAAGAATTGAGGCTGGGAGAGCAACTGAAGAGACAGTTTACAAAAATACAAAAAGAAGCTCTTTTATGAATGATGGAGCAACTGGAATTCCTAGTAGGCATGCAAGTTGTATAGTTACAATCCCTCGGCATACTCGCTTCTTCATTTAGAAGCAAACAAAACCACCTATGCAATAGGCATCAAAACCAACATTAGTATAACGCTCTAGAAAAAAAATGAAAAATTCATCTTCTAAATTAGCAAATCAAGATCTCCTTCAAGATAAGGAATTAAGTACAGATCAGCAGTTAAGGAAGCCCTGACTTAGAATTAAGACAGCACAAATGCTAAAAAGAATACATAGAAATTAAAACTGGAATTTTTGGCAGTGTCCTCTCCTTTCCCTTTTATCTCCAGGACATCAGCTAACCAAAGATGATTCTCCTCCATACCATCAAAAATAAAAATAAAGCAGAACACCACAATGTTCAAAAGAATATATTCAGACTGAAAATTTCTTTTCTACCCGGTAGAACTCTTAACATCTCTGATTTCTCCTTTGCCCGATGAAGGGCGTGTGCACCCGAAAGCTTGCAAAGAAAAAAAAAATTGCAGCTATTTAGTTGGTCTAATAAAAGATATCATCTCTGCCCCAAGAGTTTTGTCTGAAAAGTCAAGCACCTGACACACCAATTGCTTTTGCACCTCAAAGGCAGTTCTGCATACTGAGAATTTGCAGCGTCAGGTCATTTCGTATTATTTTTAATTTTTTTTTTTAACACAGTGTCTATATCCTTATGTAGACCAATATATCCACACCTGCAGACCCTTACCTACTTAGCCACTCTGGCAAAACCCATTAAGGCAGACCTGCCCTTACACTGTTTTTTCTCCTCCATCTGCAAAAAAAGAGGTAGTCCCAAACTTGGAGTTTACATTGGGCCCATACTGCATATCCTGGATCTCTGCACACTCCATATGAAAAGACAGGTCAGTTAATTACAGAATCAAAAGGTTTCATATAGATCACACAGTTGTTTAGAATAGCCTACTGCAGTATAATTAAGAAAACTCATCTCATTTCCTCCTCTATACCAACTAGTTTCAAATCATCTTATGCTGCTGGAAATATATATAATCCCTTTTTCTCTATCTTGTGCATTTTAAAAGCAGCTACACATCACAATAACCAATTCTGTAAAGCATAACCTCTTACAAAACAAAGTGTGTGTAAAAGAGTAATTCAAAGGATATGCAAAAGTACCAAATGTATGCATTATTTCTTCTTAATAATGATTGGTACACCATTAAGCTGCATGTAGTTATAGTCCCTCTGCATACTCACACCTTCATTTAGAAACAAACAGAACCATCTACGAAATATGCACTAAGAACCAATACTAGCATAACACCCTACCACAATGAAAATTAATCTTATAAATCAAGACCCCCTTCAAAAGGAGGAATTTTAAGTACAAATCAGCAGTTAAGACTGCTATCTTGCAATTCTGAACAACTAAATTTTACTTACTTTTTGGTCAAAGTCTAATGATTAGTTAAAGCATTTTCCAGTACCAAAAAACAAAGATGATAAAACATATAACCGAAGTCTTAATACAACATCTATGTTGTAGGATCATCTATTCCAAGTTGGCAAATTCTATATCTGATCTTGCAACTTAACTGTTGCATTAACACTAGTTATATTCCATTAAAAAAGTAAATTCTGAATTCCACCATTTAAATATATTGCTCCATAGCCACTCCCCTTACAGTAAACAAAGTTAATAGATTAGTTTCTAAAAACAGAGTTATCCAGCTTTGTCACGAAGATCCTTAAAAAGATCACTGCATGATGCAATTTACAATTAAGCAACTTCACACAGAGAATGCCAAAGATATTTCTTACCTCTGAGGTTAACACAGTGTGTCTGCTCATTTTCTACTTCCATAGTTCTTTAACTGTACTTCAACTGAACTGACTGTGAACTGACGTTTTAATCCCTTACTTTCAGACCTGAACAAACAAAAATGGGAAAGCTTAAGTAAAAATCAGTGCAATCATAATGAATATACAACTATATTTAATTTCTTCAGCAAACTACTTTCTAAAGGAATCAGACAGTTAAGAGCTGCACCCAGTGTTTTTTTTACATTATAGTTAACTATCTAAAGTTCGTGGGAGACTGAAAACGTAACATGAGAGAGCAAAAACAGCATGGAAGTATCCAGACCAAGTCTGGCCTATACTTGAGGTATTTTTCTTCCCCCCCACCCCCTTTCATTTTTTTTTGCTCTGCAGATGTAGATATTATACTGGTAAAACCTTGAAAACTTTTCTGGCTGCATAACTCTTTACTTGAAAAATACTGTTGCTTGTACCCCCTGTACATCTCTGCAGGCTCATCCTTAGGAAGAGTGCTGACACCAATGCCAATGCATGGCAAGACATTACTCACTATGCACTGACCAATCAGAAGCTCCACCACCTTTATTAAAATTTAGGCACCTACGCCCTGGCAAAGCACCACATCTCTCACTTTCAAAGCCACTAGTTTAGATAATCCATTAGCATGCACCAGTTTATTGCTCCTCCCCCCCAGTACAGGACCTCAGCCTATACAATTTATTCGTCATATAAACCTGTTTTCCAACTATGATTTCTCCTATTTTGCTGGGGGGGACAGAGCAGGGGAAAGAAGGGCATGTCAAGGTAAAAAGTTCTTTCTGAGGAGATTTTTGTTGTCTCCTATCTTCTCCATTTCTTCCCTTCCCAGATGCTGCTGCTCTATACATTGCTGCATGCTGAAACTCTGCAAGAGATGGTATCATCCATCTCTTTTTTCCCCAAAGGGGATTTCAACCTGCAATACTGTCTGCAGGTGAGTCAGGTGGGCTGTACACAAAGGTGCATTGGCTCCAGCAGTGATCACACATTTTTACCTGCAAAGTGATTTGTGAAATCTTGTGAAAGTTACTTCCACGTGTCTCTGTCCCACGAGACTTCAATGGCTCTTCTCCTTTCCCCTTTCTGTCTGCTGCTGCCCTGCAAACAGCTTA